ACACAGTCACGTGTGGGGACTCGCCTCCCTTATGGGGACAAAATGGAGGTCCCCATAAGGGGAATCATTAATTTTAGGGTGAAGACTTGTTTAGGGTTAGAGTAAGGGTTAAGGTTAGGCATGTGTTGGTTATGGTTAAGGTTAGGATAAGTCTCCAGGAAATGCATGTAAGTCAATGTAATGTCCCCTGAAGTGATGTATACATAGTATGCGCGTGTGTGTGTGTGTGTGTGTGTGTGTGTGTGTGTGTGTGTGTGTGTGTGTGTGTGTGTGTGTGTGTGTGTGGTTGTAAAGACTCTACTCACACATCAGAATTCACTTCTTGTCTGACCTGTGAAATGAAAGCAGAAGTTTGTGAGATTATTTGCAGTGACAGAGGAATCAGACCCAGAGGGAGTATGGGACATCAGGACTCACCGGGCTGTGGTGGTATGTGATGTAGGTTACTTCCTCCGCTGTAAAGAATGAAAAGACTCATAATTATAATTTGGCACGGATTTATCGACTCTACTGATTTTTAAAGTTTAAGGATAAGATGAAGAATAATACATTTACATGTTATTAGCTGACCCTTTTTATCCAAAGCGACTTACATGCGCGTGAATACTGTAGACATGCCTACATGAGTGATAGTGTAGTTCGGTATCTTGCCCAAGGACACTTATATTGAGGAAAATGAAATCAATAACAAAGATAACCATCGGTTGGTGCCCGACTAAGGATGTATAACAAGAATCACCGGCAGCCCAACGATTTGAATTATTCTGCGTCCGTGCTGTGTATTGCAATAACAATCCAGTGCATTATTCTTTTCTTTATATCTCTATTTGTTTTGACTAACTTCTTGCTAATTCCGCTGACCTCTCCAAAAGAAAGTTACATTTGTCTGTGCATATTAATCATTTATACAATAAAAATTCCAATAATTAGAGCTCAATTCAATATTGCCATGCAAAACATCAAAAACCCCACAACACTATCCACCTGCTTCTTTAAAATCCCTAAATGTTCTGGTGCCAACCATCATCATCGACTCCGTTGTAGACCCACAAATAAATATGAATCCAGTGACAAACGGCATACCCTCCTCTCTGTAGAACGTCTTATCAGGCGAGGGTACTTCCACCGGAGCGTCCTCCATGGCCTTCTCAAGCTTCTTCTCATACAGCTTCCTTGTAGAGTCTACACACACACACACACACACACACACACACACACACACACACACACACACACACACACACACACACACACACACACACACACACACACACACACACAATATTACTTCTCTGCATCGACTTTGGAGGAATATATAGATTTAGGTTGCAGTCGAATAGTCGATTTGGCTTAGGAACCTTCCTAATGGAGTGAAATGACCTTTATAACCTCCTTTAGCTTAGGAACCACTGGATCTCCCTTACCGAAAGGAGAGGAGAAAATGCTGCCCCACAATGCCTTGCAGCCGC